AAAATTAAAGCATACTTTCCATACGACAAAGAGTAAAAATAGATACATACACATTTTGTGTTCTTAATTCAGGCATGCTTACCCATATACGCTACCGTAACTGAGGGTCGATGGGTAAACACATTTTCTCTTTCTTTCTCTTTACGTCAGTCGTTTTTAATGGTGAATTCTCAGTTACACTCGCACACACTTGCTCTCAATTTAATTTTGCCCAACACTGTCTTAATTGATCGAAAAAAAAAACACAAAGGGAATTTCAATGAGAGGGAGAGTTGAACCAGGGAGAGGATCTTACAACTTGACGTTGTGTACAGGGCTGCCAGATTTGACGATTTAACGTCATTTTGACGATATTTTGGTCAAAAATTGAAAAATGACGATTTGACGATTTTTGCCCAAAAAATGACGATTTTTGGTCATTTTAGTAATATTGCAATATTTGGGTTCTTTTTGTTATGGCAACATCAAAAATGTATAAAGCGAAAGAAAAAGTAAAAAGAATTTGAATATTTGGCATATGTGTGTGAGGTATACTTTGTACTGTTACAAAGCCAACAACAGTTTACGTTTACCCAGATAGATGAAAAACTACCAATCAGCTGTGCCGTTCTCTGGGTAGACAACACGGGCAAATTGAAGAAAATTGGTGAACGGAAACGTTGTTATATTAAATTTAAGTTTCAATTTATACAAAGTTATTACAATTTTAAAAAGATTCGATTTGAAAGCATTTTTAAAATTGTATCTATGATAAGTCCCACGTATATTTGTAATGAAAAGAATAATTCATTTTTCGATATCCTTAAAGAATTTACACATTTTGTGAACGAAGATGAAAAACAAAAATTGAATTCAGAATTTCGCGAACTAAGGTTGTTTGATTTTGATAACATTTGTGAAAATGATGAAACAGATTTATTTCGTTTTTGGAATGCAATATTTGATTTGAAACGTGGTGATGGTTCATATGTTTTTCCTATAATAACTAAATTTGTACGGAAGGTATGGTATTACCCCATTCCTCAGCAAATGTTGAGCGTGTTTTCAGCCAAGTAAATCTTAATAAAACGAAAAGTCGAAATTCCCCCAATAAGGATTCAGTGGAGAAATTTATACCAAATATTATTTAAAAGTTAAAAAAACAAATTGTCCTGATACTTTAATTAAAACCAAGATGTTGAAAATGATTACCACAAATATTTCTTTTCAAAATGAATGACTTTATTAAAGTCGAAATGACTATTCAAATATTTATTTATAAAATAAATGAATTTCTTGATTAGCTTTAAAAACGTGTTTAATAAATTGAATACCTCTTTTATGTTCATTTTAATAAAAAAAAAATAATAAAAATAAAAAAATTAAATATATCTAAATGTGCGTATTTAATTTTTTGACGATTTTTGATAAAAAAAATCGTCATTTTGACGATTTTTCCAAAAAAAAATCTGGCAGCCCTGGTTGTGTAGTGAGAGTGATTTAGCCAGTTATGAGAGGAAAAAACGTGTTGCGGAATATATTTGTTGTGAACAAAAACAAAAGAGATCTCTGGCATGCCTCTCAGTTGCATTTTACCCACACACACAATTTGACAGTGGCGACGGACGAGTGGAAAAGAAAAGTTGGGTTATTTGGACATAAATTTGTATAAACACAAACGGAAATAAAACACATTAATACTGATATTTTTGTGATTAAAACACGGTATCGAAAACTCCCCACCGCCAACACCACCTGCTGTTGATCACTTTTCTTTTTATTGTGGTTCGCTGAATTCTGTGTTCGAGATAGCCACCTGAGTTGTTGGCATTCACAGTGACGTCACAGTGCAACGATCGTTTTTGTACCAGACACACACACACTCATCCCCCCTTAACCATCGTCATTGATAAATAGCAAAATATAATCAAATTTGATAAATCATACATGAAAAAGAAATATTAAACATAAAGATCCGCCAAAGGAATCCCAACAACAAACTCTTTTGCCGGTTGTTGTTGTAGTAATTTGGGGACATATGTTCTGTTTCTTAAATCCACATCAATTGCAGACCACAGCAACGTGCCTCCCCATTCAGCTCATTCAGGTTCATTGAGTGAAAACAATAACAAAACAGCTGTGAACACCTACAAACATTATATGGCCTAATCCATCTTCAAAACGCGAATTCTTAACTACTAGGCAGGCAAAAACTGCGCTGTTTGTCCTCAGCCACAAAAAAAAAATAAAGAAATAATTTGTAAGGTAAATTTTCTTAAAAAACTGGTTTACTTAGATGACAATCCCTTCCTCCCTCCTCAAGCCACTTGCAATTAGGTGTGTCTGGTTACCCTAAAGTTTGTAACAATTGTTACAAATTGTTACTGGAAGTCGTCTGTTAACCCAAAAGTTCTGCAAAAGAGAGCGGTTGGAGAGAGAAATTTTGACAGTTCTTTCAGTGAGAGTTTGCAAATTCTTGCTGGAAAAATTTCTTCTTGCAATCTCTTGCAACTCTTCTTCTTCTCATACATCGACATTCAATCAGATGTTTTCTATTGTTTGTTTATTTATTTTTGTGCTTTCAATTTGAAAATAATTTTTTTTGGAATTAGCAAGACTATTAGCAAAAACGAGAACATCAAATCTATCTTTCTTTTATTGCTCATTTTTTTATTTTATTTCCTTTTTATTTCAAAAACTTGTTAAACTGGTTGTGTTTTCTTTCTTTTAATTCTTTATAATGGCGGACAAATTGGTTTGTTTTGACAAATCAGCTGATTAGTTGCAAGCTTCTGCAGGGATGCCGTCTGTTTACTTTTCGCATTTTTCTTGCAAAAGAGAATAAAACTACCTTACTCTCTCAGAAAGAAGTTACTGGACAATTCCTGCAGGGAAAGTAACCAGACACACCTATTGTTAATAACTAAACTGGTTTTTATTTCAGTTCAATTTCTGATGTTGTTGCTGTTTTAAATTTACTGTGGACTTGGACTAGAGGCAACGCACATAACTACTTAACTCGGCTCGATGCTACTTAAATAAATCGCTGCACTGGAGCGGTATTGCTGGTTTTAACAGCGGCTCAGCAATCTTTACGTGTCAGCAGTCATCACCGTAGTCGACGACGGCGTCGTCGTTTCTATCATTCCCAACCAGTTGCTGTTAATGGCATATTTTGGAATTCGAAACTGGTTTTTCGAAAACAAGTTAACCCGGTTTTTGCATATCCAAGTCGGTAACATATCTCACAGCTCTGTTTTAGTTGGACTCGTTTGAAATATCAACTTTTTGTTCATTCGACGATAGTTGTGGTGCTGCCGTTGATTTTGCCATCAGCACGTCTTAAACAACTTTGACCGACCACCAGCAGCAGCAGGCAGGCATACAGACAGACAGTCAGTTTAGTCCGCACATTCATCTAATATGGCTCAGGTGAGTGAGTCGTTTTTTGTTTTGTTATAAATTTATTTAATAATTTTATTTATTATGAAGATAATGTGTGTTGTGTTGTAGCGATTTAAAGTATCGGCGCGAAGAAGACAATTTTAGCAAAAAGAAAGTCACAAATATAGCAAGTGCTGTTGTTTTTTGTAGTGTTCTTCGGTAAGAATATGAATAATTTGAAAATATATATCCATAACGGTACATTGTTTAAGCGGTGATGTTGAACTGCAACAGAATTGGGTCAACAGAATTTTAACACTGTATAAAGCGTAAGCATATAACAGATCACAATAATGTTGACAGTGAATAATTTTTACTTGGCCCAAGGATTTTTAACCCTTCGAAACATTGGCGAGCATTTTAATTTACAAATTAAAATCGGTGTGTCCGATAGATCAGGACGTAATTAACATTGGAATTTCAACTTATAAAAATTTACATTTACACTTGAATTATCTTAGCAAACTCAAAACAATACGAAAGTCTATAATCAGCCCCTAGAAAGTTTGGTATTGAAAATTAAATATATCGGTCCAAGTTTTGGTACATCCCTCATATAATGGTACCCTCCCATTTTCGGGATTTAGAAGGTGTTAGTTAGCTGCACCGAAATTGCAGGGAACGAGGAGGATGAAAAAACATTGTGTGGAAAATATTGTAAAAAGATTTTTGTTTTGGTCATAGTCACCATTTCAGGCTACTGGTTTTAGTCACACGAAGTGACCCTAATTTGACATGACCTGTTCTTGCTGCTATATCATTGGCATTATACTTTGTATTATTTTTTAGTTTCAGTGGGGTGCTGGGTCGTGATCTGATAGTTCTAGTTGTATGAATCACTCGAGAGCACTATCTGACATGTGTACAACTGCATATTCCATGAAGTATAACAGGGCTGGAATAATTTGTCCACTTATCAGCACAACCACTTCTTATGGAGCCACAACAGTCAAAATTTTCGTTTCCACGACAGAGGGGTCTACGATCCGAAACGAGTCTTTCTCAGCCAACGTCTGTCTCCTCAGTCCAATTGTATTAGATATATTCCGAAATCTTGCTGCTTCATTTACTCCCCCTATTGACTCACAGAACGGCAGCCCTCTTGATTCCATTATTAAATTTTGACCCATGTTTGTTAATACCCTACATTTTAGGTTACCAACCAATATAATTTACAACGGATACTCCTGGAACAGATGTTGCATTAGAATCCACAAGTATTATCTTTAAAAAATGTTGTTCCTTACATGTACGATTAATGTTGATATAACACGTTAATTCCCAAAACATCGCAAATACCGCATGACAATTTGATGTATAATTTTCTTTGCTAGTATTACACATTTAGCTCCTTCCTTTTTTCTACAGTCGACAAATATAAAGATTCCCCAATTTCATATTGCACAAAAAAAGGCGACAATTTTTGAGATTACTTTTTATTGGGTTTAACATTCAATGCCAAATAGAATAGAATTAAAAATTTATAAATATGTAAATATATGTATGCATATGTATGTATGTATATAAAAATTAAAAATGTTAACGTATAAAAATGTAGATGCGCAAGTAAGATTTGTTTATGAACCGCAGGACATACAGGCATCCTTATTTTCCAATGAGCACACCATTTCGGCCATTCTCTTTTCACGTTCAGCTGCTTCAGCATCTTCTTTAGCCGGCGATGCTACTCCATTCTGTTTTTCACCATTCGTGGTGGCGGCGGCAGCAACTGTAGAAGCCACACGGCTACGATCCACTGTAAACTGAATAGCATTAGCCGCCGGTTTTGTTCTTAGATAATACATGCCGGTTTTGAGACCCGCCTTCCAGGAATAGAAATGTATCGATGTCAATTTGCCATAATTAGGCTCCGCCACATGAATGTTAAATGATTGACTTTGATCGATAAATGCTCCACGATCCGCGGCCATTTTTATCGTTGTCTTTACAGAAATTTCCCAAACCGTCTTGTAGAGCTCTCTAATTTCCTTGGGAATCTCCTCGATATTTTGTATGGAACCACGACTTGAGATAATTTTATTTTTCATTTCTTCATCCCATAAATCAAGTTCGGTCAAATCCTTAAGCAAATGATGATTAACAATGTTGAATTCACCCGACAGTACACGACGGGTATAAATGTTGGATGTGTAGGGTTCGAAGGCTTCATTGTTGCCCATAATCTGTGCTGTAGAAGCAGTCGGCATGGGCGCTAACAGCAAGGAGTTGCGGACACCATGTTTGGCAATTTTTTCCTTCAATTCAGCCCAATTCCATAGGTCGGTGGGTACTTTGTTCCACATGTCGTATTGGAGAATACCTTTGCTCACTGGACTGCCAGGATAGGTTTCATAGGGGCCATCCTTCTCAGCCAGTTCACAACTGGCCTCCAAAGCTCCATAGTAGATGGTTTCAAAAATCTGTTGATTAAGTTTGTAGGCCTGCTCACTTTCATAGGGATAACGCATCAGGATGAGAGTATCGGCAAAACCTTGTACCCCAATACCAATGGGGCGATGTCTCAAATTTGACTTTCTTGCTTCTGGCAGTGGGTAGTAGTTGATGTCAATGATTTTGTTGAGATTGCGCGTAACAACCTTGGCCACATTCTTCAGTTTCTTGAAATCATATGTCTTCTCGGGAGTCACAAACATGTTGAGGCAAATGGAGGCCAAATTGCAAACGGCTATCTCATCGGGTGCCGAATATTCAACAATTTCTGTGCACAGATTACTGCATTTGATGGTGCCAATATTCTGCTGGTTGCTCTTGCGATTACAGGCATCCTTGTACAGCATGTAGGGTGTGCCGGTCTCCACTTGGGCTTCAATAATGGCAAACCATAGCGCCTGCGCTTTAATTGTTCTGTTGGCTTTACCTTCCTTTTCGTATTTCTCGTAAAGTTTTTCGAACTCTTCTCCCCAAACATCTTGCAGACCGGGACATTTGTGGGGACACATCAGCGACCAGTCTCCATTCTCCTCTACGCGTTTCATGAACAAATCTGGAATCCACAGGGCATAGAAAAGATCTCGGGCACGGTGCTCTTCCTTGCCGGTGTTCTTCTTAAGGTCTAAAAATTCAAAAATATCGGAATGCCATGGCTCCAAGTAAATAGCAAATGCGCCAGGACGTTTGCCGCCACCCTGATCTACATAACGGGCCACATTGTTGAATACTCGCAACATGGGCACCAAACCATTGGAAGTGCCATTTGTGCCAGCAATTGAAGTGCCCTTGGCACGTATGCAATGGACATTGATACCAATGCCACCAGCTGATTTCGAAATCATGGCGCACTGTTCCACAGACTTGAAAATACCCTCAATCGAATCCGCAACCATGGTCAGAAGGAAACACGATGACAACTGGGGGCGATTGGTGGCAGCGGCGAATAATGTTGGCGAGGCATGGGTAAAGAAACGTTCCGACAGCAAGTTATATGTTTCAATGGCAGCATCGATATCTTCACCGTGTATACCCACAGCAACACGCATCAGCATATGTTGAGGCCTCTCGGCAATTTTTCCATTCATCTTCAGCAAATAGGATCGCTCCAATGTCTTAAAACCAAAGTAGTTATAACCAAAATCACGATCATAAACAATGGCCGAATTGAGGCGTTCCGAATTCTTCATTACAACATTGTAGTGGAACTCCGATATCATGGGTGCCGGCTTTCCCGTCTCATCACTCACATAATGGTGCAGATCGCTAATCACCTCCGAGAACACTTTCTTTGTCTCCTTGTGTAGATTGGATACAGCAATACGGGCCGCCAACAGAGCATAATCGGCATGATTAGTTGTTAGAGTGGCGGCCGTTTCCGCAGCCAAATTATCCAATTGTTGTGTCGTCACACCACAATACAAGCCGTTGATCACCCGTAAGGTTATGGCCACGGGATCAACAAAATCCATATTCAAGCCATAGCAAAGCTTTTGGATGCGTGATGTGATCTTATCGAAATGTACTTCCTCTTTGCGGCCATCTCGCTTAACCACAAATAGTTTCTTCGATTTCATACTGTTAACCATATTGTTCGATTGGTCAATACTTCGCTGAATACTTCTTGTTTTCGTCTATTTCACAATGTTCTCGGAATGTAAGGGAGGCAACAACAAAGTATAATACAAATAAATTATATAAATGTAATGGAAACCAGTAGAAGAATAGAATCCCTTGTAGCGTCGACTTCTGTTTGTCGACACTCGACGACAATACTGAATGTTTGATATAGAACACAAAAAGTCAAGCAGACAGCCGCCTAAATGCACCAATACATTGCAAAAATTAGGCTAAATTTGCGCCAAAAAAAGCTTCAAATCCAATGTGAGTTGCCAGTCGGCGGTGTACTAAACAACCTATACAGAGTTGTTTTATTGGTCAAATTCGGCATGAAGATATGAGGAAGCTCAACGATATGGCAATATGTTTTTTAGCAAAAACAGATCAATGTTTTGTTTGTGCTAAAAACAAAATATGGAAACGTTTGCTGTATATGTGCGTGTGTTTGTACCGACATATTTGCAAACCGGCATTTTTTACTAAATGCGTCAGTAACGAAAGTAGTCAGATGTTAAGGTATCGTAACAATGATGTATTGTCGATACGTTGTAAATGCTGGCCTAAGGCTACTTAGGGGACTTCAAGCCGATTGATTTTTATAATAGATACTCTTGAATATAATAGAATATTATACACATTTTGAGAAACTTGTCGTTATACCCGCCAGGTTACAGCAATAAGAAAATTAAAACCCAGTAGCGGATCGTTATGTTCTTTTCTTTTGAAAGTCCGTATTTCCTAAGATATAATATGAAAAAGCTTTCGATCGATTTATGCATTTTGAACGCTCTCTTCATGCTGAAGTGTATTCAGCCCGACCGAAGTAGACGATTTACTAGTGAAACTAACAAAAAAGCGGATTATAATTTTTCTGGGCCAATTTATCCTACAATATTTGTTAGTTTTCAGCGTACCATATTCCAGGTACCGAAACACAAATAAAATGTTTGTACGGTACGTCGGATTATAAATAACGCTGTGTTTTTTAGATATGTTTTTATATCGCACTCTTTTCGTTTTTACATAATATACATATAAATTGTTTTTATCCGATATATATTTTTTCTCAATTTTTAATATTTTCTTATTTTATTATAGGATTCCGATTTAGAGAGTTATATGGATGGTTATGTAGATGTCGATAATACCGTTATACAACCCAGTCCACAACGTATACGAAATATTCTAACATTAGACGAACGGGTGGCAGCTATCAAGGCCTACAACCAACGACCTATGTACACCAAGGTGGCTCGTATGTTCAATTGCAGTTGGGAACAGATCAAAAATATCGTATCTAATCGTGATGCCATTATGGAATTCTATGAGGCCACCACAAATCCAAAAGAAATTCCCATGGACGTTAAACAGAGAAAGGCAAAATTTCTAAACGAATGTGTCTACGAGTCCATACAACGGATACAGTATCACATGAAACTGCCCATAAGCGAAGAGTTGATACGTCTGAAGGCGTTAGAGTTTCAGGATTTCATAAAATTAGAAGATTTTCAACCGAACAAGAAATGGTTTTTAGCCTTTAAATCGGCATACAATATTTCCTTGGCCAATAAACACATCCAGCTGAATCGTATACCACCCGCCTCAATGGACCTGAGAGATGTCATGGCATATTGCACGAAAAATATGCAAAGCACCACCACAAATGTGGTTCATCTGAAAGATCTAAAGCAAAAATACAGCAGTTTAGATGCAAAAACGGCAGAATATGAGAGTCGTCGGGTGAGGAAATTGCATTTTCTGCAAAAAGCTTTAAACGAATATTTACACCGGGCCAAATTTCATTACAAATCTATGAAACTGGACGACAAGGCCTTGCAAATGGTGGCCCAAGAGTTTAATGATATTTTAAAGGTACAAGATTTCCATCCCACACTATCCTGGATACGAGATTTCAGACAACGTCATGACAGTTCGCAGGACACGAGTCCAGTAAATGGTAAACGACCGCTGCTGTCGTTAGATTTAAAGGACATACTTAGCTATTGCAGCCGTATGGATAATAAAACCAAAGCATGTACTATTACTCTGACACCGAAAGAACCACCAAATGCCCATACCTTGCAAATGCGTCTGTTGCCGAAATTTCCTAGTGATTCAAAAATCAAGTTACAACAAAGTTCCATTATCTATTTGGATGAGGAAGAGGAAGAAGAAAAAGACGTAAAACCCGATATCAATGAAATTAAATTAGAACAGCAGGTTAGAGAGCCTGATCCGTCACCTCCATTAAAAATTCGCAAAATAGAATCAATTAACAATGATCCTGTTCTACAACATGAATTGCAACAAGAAAAACGAGTCGATACAGAGAAAATGCAAACGGAGGAAAGAGAAAAGGAAGCGTCAGTTGTATTAAATAATGACCAAGTCACAATAAAGTTAGAAAGACAAGAGGAGGAGGACGAAGAAGAAAAACGCAGAAGTAATATACCAATGGCGACGAGTATATCTCCCCACAGAACGGTTATAACGTCTACAGAAAGTGTATTGCAACGTGCAGCTGCATCTCCAAATCAATTTACAGTACCAGTTACAAAAGCACCAACACCATCTCCGCCACCAACCAACAACAACAATAATAATAACACCAACCATGATGAGGATTCAGAATTACCACGACAAATAAATAATTTTAAAGATGTTTTGCGTTTGCTCAAACCACTTGAAGAATATGCAATGCTGAAAGAGAATTACCGTGCAATTGGTCTGATAACACAATTGGAAGAAGTTTTGAAAAATTCCGATGATAATCCAACAGAAGAAGATTATAATACGTAATATATATGAAAACAAAAATACATATATATTTAGAAGCTCCACCAAATATAGCGAATAAGAAACACTATGTATTTCAAATTCGTCGAATCTTTCTTTATAAAATATTGTAAAATATATATTTTAGTATGTAGTTAACATAAGTCTAGAAAATAGTTACTCTTCAAGGATTTGAAGTTCCTTCTTTGAATAATAAGAACATGAATTAAAAATGGAAGTAAACACCAAAAACTAAAAAGAAACTCCGTATTTTTTCCATAACCATACGTTTTAACAATGATAGAGGAACAATAATATTGCCATAAATATTAAAAAAAACTCGAAAGTGAATTCTTCGACTCAAATAGGCGTCTTTGTCTTGGCACCTTCAGTCCCAAGCATCAGAAGGAAAATAAACGGATGCAAATTTTGATCACGGACATTTCTTTAAATGCCGAAAGCACAAGACTAATCGCTGGAGGGGACAACTTGACTATTTTTTTAATGACATCACTAGACAAAATTATAAACGTTTTATATGATGCTTCAGCGTCATAAGACATTGATAAAGCTGGTTGGCCGATATTTACAATAAAAGTACTCTTTGTATAACTTCGATCATACGGGGGATGCTCAAAATACCTGTAATCGATCGGAACAATTATATGGAGGCTTGATATGGTAAATTGCCTGTCTGGAGAAAACGAAATACCAAAACGACAACTACTCAGAAAATAACACGTAACGGTAAAAATATTTCTGAAATTCTCAAAATACTGAAAAGTGGGGGGAGCATTTTATATAAACTATGTATAACAAAACGTGGGCCGATATACATAATTTTTGATAGAAAGATTTGATCTAAAATGAACCTAAATTATATAAATTATTTAAAATATAAAAAATAATAAAAAATAAATAAAAAAATATATGAGCTTCCCTGAAATTTGAGGCGATTCCGATCGTTTCTGATAGAGACATTTTTACTTTATGCAATTTCAAAAAAATGTTAGAATTACATTAAAAACGTTCTTATAATACCGAAAATGGGGAGGTACAGTGTTATGGGGTCTACCCTACAAAGTGGATCAATATTGACAATTTCTAATTAGACAATTTGTTACCCAGTAAAAACTCAATTTATCAAATTACAATCAATTTGGTGAAAAAACATGCCCAAACTCCCTAAAATATCGATGTTAGGGCGGTTCCGTTATACCGGGGGATACCCTTAAAATCTTCTAAAATTAATAAGATTTGTTACTCAAAATATAAGATTATAGTCAATTTGGCCAAAATACCGAATATTTGAAGGCAACGTTTTATGGGGGCTATCTTAAACATTACGAGTTCTGTCGTGATTAAAACTGACAGTTTTGAATTATTTATGGGATATCCGGATACAATTTTTTCTATGTGATTATCAATATTTTTAGCTTTGAAATTATCTGAAAATTCAGTTTAAAAATTTAATTATCCGAATCTGTGAAAAGGACTATGAAAATATCGATTTCTTGTCTTTGGAGCATCTATCTTAAATCGTATGTATGACATTTTGTAAAGTAATTTACTTTACGGTTCAAGAAAATAAGAATGAAAAAGAGGCACAACGGTTGTATATAGTAGGAGGATATGATTAAAAAATATTCCTCTTTTGGTATGACTGAAAAGCTTTTTCTTCAGAAATTCTAAAATTACCAGTAACGAATTCATCGTGCATTAACTCAAAAATTTAACCTGTGGCGAATTTACCCTTCTTCGTTATTTATATATTCACCAAACGCTTTCATCCCCATATGGAAATTTTTCACCACCCAGCCCATGACCGCCATTTTGGTCATCACGATGTAATTCAATTTTACAAAAGTCTGCCATGTAAAATCCCTTTACCTTTTTACCGGGTTATTCATTTGGCAGAACGATGTTATGAACTCTGTGTCAAAGTACCGATTACTTTTTTGCTCTACTAAACAAAATAATTATACAGCCAACCTATAGATCCCTATCTCAAACACATTTTTTCACGACTAATTGTACGATAATCCACATCTGCATCTTTCCATTGCAAGGAAATCAACAAAATAGGAAACGATCTACCGGAAAGTAAACTTTTTCTCCCAACAACTAATTCAAATGGCTACTTTAAAGAATTTTTGGATCGAATTCATCGATTTATATAAATCCCTACCCGAACTATGGAAGAGAGATGCTGAGGAGTATGGCAACAGGCATATTCGAAAGAAAGCCTATGAGGTGATGGTCGACAAATACAATGAAATTGACAAGGAGGCCAATATTTATACGGTCAAGAAGAAAATCAATAATATGAGGACAGCATTTCGTCGGGAGCTGAACAAGATGCGTAAAAGTGAACAGAATGCATCGTCACCGAATGAGATCTATACACCAACACTGTGGTATTATTCACATTTGGAATTTCTGATAGATGAAATGGATGATGAGGATGATATGGATGCGACGACAGCAACAAAGATGGAACTAATGGATGATATTGGCATAATGAATGATGAAGTAAGTTGTGTTGAAATAGAATGTTATCCTTTACTTGGGAACTAAAACAATACAATAGATCCTAATCACTAAGGGGATCAGAACAAGAGTTCAAGTAACCGATTGTTTCGAAGTAATAAGATTTAATAAGTGAAAAATTAATTCAAGAACCGGCTTGTTTGAAAACTATTTCCCTTATGTTATTAATATTTTAAGAACTTGTCCTTATTTTGTTGCACACAATTTATCTAATAATTAATTCTTTTTGTTACGCTTCCAGTATCCAATAAATAGAGCACCAACTCCGTCAACATCCTCCCAATCAAAGAAGAGAAAATTTGAAATATCCATACAGCAGCCGGAACAAAAACGACAATATTCACAACAGCCGCAAGACCACAATATTATTCAACGACAACAACATCAACAGACACCAACTGTAATTGATCCCGTTCGTGCTTTATCATCATCATGGGAGGTTTTATATCGTGATTTAGATAAGAAACAACAACTCTATGCCAATCGAATGATTAACGAAGTTTTATATCAGGCCGCATTGGGAAAGCTTAGCGAAAATTCATATAAGCTATTAGAAATGGCTGTTGATGAACCAAATGGTCATATAACATTTAGCCCCGATCGAGAATCTGAAACACAATATTATTTGACGGAATCAACGGAACACGACGAGATCATAATGAAAAAGGACAATGAACGTAAACGACCTAAAAATTCGAAACAATTGCATATGACTAAATAATTGAAAGGATTTCTTGTTTAAAAAAAAAGTTATAAACGGAGAAATTAAAATCCACGTTATGAAAATAGGTTACGCATATAGATTTCATATAAATTGTATGAATGTAACATTTTTTGTTAATAAAATACTTAAATTTGTATCTAATTCATATAATTTTTATGAATGTAACAATTTGTGTTAATAAAATGCTTAAATGTGTATCTAATTTTTTTATTTTATAAAATAAATTCTCTAAAGATCGTCACATTGTTGGAAGAAATAATTTTATGGACAATGTTCCCACTATTCCTTTAAGATAGGATACGCATAAGATAATGCGTATTGGTCATTGTGAAATAATGGCCAGGTTGGGATGAATATAATATGCATTGAGACCTAGGCTTTTAACATCGTTATATTTTTATTTGTTTATGACAATGATGGTAATATTCGCATTTTTAAGGATGGAACAAACATGATCTATGTTATACAATGTACACAAACCATTGTTCGCTAGGTTAAATGGAGAATTACAATATAACAATCTAAGAAGATTAGAAGGTCGGCTCACGAATGTCTTCGTGATGGTTTTATATGTGTTATATGCATCATACAAGTCAGTGAAGGATTTAATATGTTTCATAGATGTCAGTGTAAGTTTTATATATTTTTCATAGATGCCCGTGAAGGTCCTCATCACCAACGTAGCCAGAGGGGGGCCCGGGGGCTCTGCCCCACCCCCCGAAATGATTTATTTTCACAGTAAATGTATGTCTGCTACAGGGTTTTTTCCCAGAAATATAATCCTTTATACGGCCCTGGTCCTCATAATAATATTGCGGAAATACTCCAGATTGGCATTTTTAAACATAGTCTGTCAATGCAAAATTTTGCGAGAATGTTTTTAAGCAGCTACTCACCACAAAAAATCTATATTTTGGACATATATGTTAAAAAACTGTACTATATTAGGTCCATACAAGAATGTGTCTATATAAAATACAAGAGTATGTTAATATAAAATTTTTAAATTTTATTTAAATTCTCTAGAAATCAAATTGTTCTTTTCATTGGTTTTCTATCTGCATCATGTTTACGTTCATTATGTTCCTCCTCGTCCTCTCCTGTTGACACATCCTCTAAATAATACTGGATCACTGAATCTTGTATATCACTATAATTATTCTTCTCCTTGGGACTTTCTATTGCCGTTTTCAATAGTTTATATGAACCCTCCTGAAGCTTGCCCAATGCTGCTTGATACAATATTTCGTTAATCATACGATTCGCATAGAGTTGTTGTTCCGAATTTAAATTCCGATATAATACCTCCCATGAAATGCTAAGGGCTTTAGCTTTATCAACTATTGGTTCTTGATACTGATGATATTCTTCGGATATTGCAGAACTCGATTTGGTTTGAATAGGAGATGGCTGGCGATGTTGATTATACTGAGGAAACTTGAAAAAAGATAGTAACATGAATGTATTGTTAACCTCCAAAAGTCAATTTACTTACTTCCTCGTCATCGTCGTCCGAATATGCAAAGCTCATGTCACCCATCCGCTCAGTTTTGCTCGTCGTCGAGTATATTTCCTCTTCCTCATCTTTGAGGAATTCCAAATTTTTATAATACCAAAGTCTGGGCACGTATACATCTTTGGGTGACAATGCCATCTGTTCACTTCGTTTGACGCGACTTAATTCACGTCGAAAGCATGTTCGAATATTGTTTATTTTCCGTTTGACGGTATAAACATTGGCACTTGCATCGATTTCTTTATATTTTTCCAACAACACTTCGTAAGCCGTATTTTTTAGATGTCTGTTGCTATACTCATCCGAACTTCGACGCCATAGCTCCGGCAATGATTTATAAAGATCTATAAACTCTATCCAAAAGGTTTTTGAATTTGGCGCCATTACAGAAGTTTAATAATAAGTTTCCTTCTTACAATTGGATAGATTTCTTTCTTAAAATTTCAGTTGAAGTTTTTTGCTGGACGACTAATAGATATTTATCTGGTAACATAAACATAGGGCTGTTCGCATGCTAAAGTAATATAATGCCAAATGTTGCCACAACGTGTATTCTATCGTATATTGTGAACCCTACTAATAACATATTATTTGGTCTGCTCCAGCACTGCAGTTTCTGGAAAAGACCAAGTATGTTCTAATCATTATTCCATAGTTCTGATGAAATATTGAACGAAGTTGTACGCTTTGAAGATTAAGATTTATTTATGAATGTATGTACCAAATTCCAACATAGAAGAAAAAAATATAATTTACTTACATCAATACTCTAAATGGTACGAATTTATTTTTTGTTCCGTATATAATATAATTTGAAATAGAACGATAGAACACGTTAACTAAGACAAAATATCTTCTATGGAAGTCCTGAAAGTCGTATATATAACATAGAAGTCCTTATATATTTCATAGAGAAACTGAGGGTCTTACAAACTGAATGTCATATATGTATCATATAAGTACTTGTAGGCCTTTTATGTCTCAAAAAAGTCCGTGAATGTTTTAAATTTTATTTCATTTAAATTTCATGATACCTAATCTTCTGACCTTAAAGCGGTAAACTGCATTAAATTGATAACTAACAAATTTTAATAACAATTATAGTATCTTAAGTGTAGGAAAGGGGGGTAAATACACTGCTCAAAATAAGTATTACTATGTATAATAAAACACTATAAAATTATAAAGGTAAATTAAGTAAAAGAAGAATTGAAGGTGTTATATGTCTCTCAGATGACCTGAAGGTCTTATATGTCTCATAGACGACCGTAAGGTCTTATATGTCCCACAGATGACCTGAAGGTCTTATATGTCTCACAGACGACCGGATGGTTTTAGTTGTTATGACAATATATCTTGTATACGGTACTTCTTAGGAAGTCTATGTGTGTGTGAGGAATTAAAATTTAATTTTAAAAGGTATTTAGACCCTGAGGACCAAATCCCTTTGATTCTCTGAAAAAATGTGCAAGCAGAGAAACTTTTAATGACTGAGATGAAGGCTATAGCAACTAACAACCCTTAAACATCTTCTGGATTTTTGTGCCAAATATGAGAACAAAGGAAAGAAATGATTATCCTGCGGAGTACAAAAGAGCCCAAGGCCTTTGTAAGTACAAGATGTTTGTATTGGTAAATACATATCTATATGGGGAAATAAATCCTAATCCTTTTAAACCCATCTGACAGTTTTGTGTAGTTACAGAAGAAAACGTGAGGTAAAATGAAATAGTAAAAACGTGAGATACAAATATAGATATATTTAAAATAAAACATTAATTATAAAAAACCTATATTTTTCGGAAATGTGTAAAAAACGAATGTAAAAAATATAGCAGTTTTGAAAGAAAATCCGCAATATTGTCCAAAATATATGTTAACCAAATAAAAATGTATGCATGTGTGTATTTTTGTACACCCCAAATAGTCGATTTTCGAAAGGCCACATGACTAATTGTGTGTTTGTGGATATATTTAAAATATATATGTATACAAATTGTGTATATATATTTTTAGTCCCCATGACATGGCATAGCATGTGTACCTTAACACTGGTTAGGGGCACAAAATTATACTTAAAAATAACAACAACAATAACAAGAAAAATACTGTACCCAAAATTGGTCACGATATACGACGAAGTCATTTATGACGAACACAAGCAATATCTCAGCAGTATACATTTTGAACATGGCAGACCAATCGACCACCCGACCGACTTACTGAACGTCAATTATCTGGTGAAATCATAATGCTGAGAAAAAAAAAAACTGATTACCAACACAAACGGTATGGGTTGAATGTACGCCTGTATTACGATATACCACAGTATGGATTCAGTGTACGAATAGGTGGACGGACGTTAAAAACTTATAGACGTTCGAATGACTGACTATTCATTGTTTTGAACGTTGCCAGCTACAGTTAGTGGTAATATTGCCGGTTGGTGATGGTGGTGGTTTTAGATGTTGTTCTACTACTTGAACAATTTTTTTGTTGGCGGGATGACTGAGTATGGCTTTAGATCTAATCAAGCTACAGCAATCTAGAACGAGTGAGTGTGTGACCGATTGGGTCAGACGAATTGAGATGGAAGTCTAAACGAACTAACATCTTGAATGGAAACAATTCATTTTAGCAAATTGTAGACATAAAATTGATTTTATTTTCTATGGTATGTTGTTGTATGTGTATTCACTCGTAGATGTTATATAGGGGGGATGTCATATGCAAGACATGTGTACTTAAATTATATTCGAATGTGAAAAATACATATTAATGTATATCTATATACATATTTAATAATTGCAGGTTTTAGAAATCGAACATTAGGGGTCCAAGATAGACATACATAAATACCTATTATGTAAACACATGGTTTTACATATGTATTCCCGAAAAACTAAATGGTCTTTTGCGGGATATTTTAGAGAAATATTCGATGAGACATATATAGTACGTGAAAGAATCTATAAGACATGTAAGGTCTTCTATGAGACTATTATAAGAACTTCAATTAGACCCATATATGAGTCCTCTTTGTGATACATAAGTGCTCCACGGTCTTCTATGAGACATATAAGACCTTCGGATCTTCTACGAGTCACATATAAAACCACCAAGGTGTTCTATGTCTTCTTCTATATAAGACCTTCGGATTTTGTATATGATACAAATAAGAAGTTCTGGCTTTCTATATGAGACATAGATGCCTTAAGGTCCTCTGTATGGCATATTATATATTATATTGTATACAATAATCAGAAATCTGAATCAGTACATGTTTCCCTAAAATATGCCATTCATCGTAAATTCAAAATATCATCTATAATATTTGTATATATATATAAAGTACATAATATTATATACTTTTATTTTATTTATCATAAATTCTTTGAGTACACCGAACAATATCGACGGTCATATAGAAGTTTATGCTTTGCCATAAAAAAAGATACAGTCATGACCCCAGTGTAAAATTGAGGTCATTAATATTGAAAATGGCAGATACCCAAAATGTGTATGGGTCGTTGAAAAACTCTGACAAACCCCGCACGCCCAAGCAAGCAACCAACCAGCCAGGCAGCCAAACCCAAAACTTAATAATGAACAAAGAAATTCTCCACACCCAACCAAAACAGCCGTAGAGTCGTTTGTAATTCCCTGAAAGCGAAAAAATATCCCATAGCACACGCAACACAGCAGAGATGGAAAGTTTTTTTTTTTAAGCGACATATGGGGTAAGGAGGGTTAGAGCATCATCAATTTATATTCAACGGAATACTACATCCCAATGAAGAATACTAACGAACAGCAGAAACAACAACAACAAAAAACACCCTTGGCATTTTGACGTCCCACGACGACGACGACGATGATTTCGAAGAAAGAACATTTCAGCTGCTGTTCGGTGTAATAGTCAAGGACTTTGGAAAAAGTTCACCTTAATGTCGAGAGATTAGAGGGAGAACAAATGCACTGTCACGGTGTACATAAGTCGAATAAATAAGTATTCGGTAGGAATTCTAGTTTGGATGTATTAAAAAATACGAAGTTAGAATTTTTTATTGGAAGACAAATTTTTTGTACAAGTTTACGGAATTTTATAGGAAGAGTTAGTGATTGGAAATATGGACAATATTGTAACTTTAGTCAGGTCGAACCTGAAGATTTTCTATGAGACATATAAGACCTCCACAGATTTCAATTAGACATATAGGACCCGATGTTCTTCTATGAAAAATACAAGACCTCCAAGTCTTATATATGAGATACCTAAGACCTTCAAGTCTTCTATATGATGAGGTCTTCTAATAAGACCTAAAGGTCTTCTATATGAGACATAAAGACCTTGAGATATTCTAATAAGACCTACAGGTCTTCTATATGAGACACATGTAAGACCTTCAAATATTCTATGAGACACATATAAGACCTTCAGGTATTCTATGAGACACATATAAGACCATCAGGTATTCTATGAGACACATATAAGACCTTCAGGTCTTCTATGAGACTAATATAAGACCTCCAGGTCTTCTAATAAGACCTTCAGTTCTTCTAAATGAATAGAATAGATTCAGGTCTTCTATATGAGACATATAAAACCTGAAGGTGTTCTATATATACTATAATATAAGACCTTCAGGTCTTCTATGAGGCACATATAAGACCTTCTGGTTTTCTAGGAGACATATAAGACCTTCGGATCTTCTAGGAGACATGTAAGACCTTCAGGTCTTCGAGGAGACATATAACGTCTGTAGGCCTTTTCTGAGATATATAAGACCTCCAGGAGTTTTTTTTTTTGAAACATATACGACATGAAGGTCTTTTAAAAAAAAACCTATAAGGCATAAATGTCTTCTATATGAGACCTATAAGATCTTCAGTGTCTTCTATATGATACATATAAGACCTTAAGGTATTCCATGAGACACATATAGGACCTTACGGTCTTCTATGAGACATAAACGACCTTCAGGTCTTCTATGAGACACGCATAAGACATTTAGTTCTTCTATGAGACTAACATAAAACCTTCCGGTCTTCTAGGAGACATATAAGACCTCAGGTCTTCTATGAGCACATATAAGTCATCCAGTTCTTCTAATAAGACCTTCAGTTCTTCTATATGAGACATAGAATAGATTCAGGTCTTCTATATGAGACATATAAAACCTGAAGGTCTTCTACAAGACCTTCAAGTCTTCTATGATACATATAAAACCTGAAGGTCTTCTGTGAGACACATAAAACCTGAAACATATAAGACCTTCAAATCTTCTATGAGACATATAAGTTCTTCGGCTCTTCTATGAGACATATATAAGACTTTCAGGTATTCTATGAGACACATATAAAACCTTCTGGTCTTCCATGAG